CATCTCTAGTTCTTCTCCTCTCTCTTTTTAATTTCATCATTAACATCATGTGAATAATTTTAATTGAACAATTGATAAGATAAAAATCAACTTTTGTTATTTTAATATAAATTAATAATAAGAATGTACATTTATTATAGTCTTTAACTTGTAAAAAAACTTTAAAGTTATACTCCCCTTGTTCTTTCTCTATCCATATAATTTTAGGCAGTGTTATATATTGTTTTTATATAGCACATAAATGAGAATTGAATTCTTTTATCAAATAAAACTACTCAATAAAAATTATGTATTGAAACAAAAAAAAAAAAAATTGTTATTCATATACTATACAAAAAAATTATCAAAAGTTATGTTCAAAATTAGTAAAGAGTTATAGCTATATAGATAAATAGATAAATTAGTAGTTATTAAAATGAGTTATCATTCAAATAGTTCATCTTAAAATTTTATTTGCAATTTTGCCTTTGCATCCTGTTACCATAAAGAAGGGCAAAAAATTATTAAAGGTTTTAATTAAAAAATTTATTCGAGTTAGCAAATTTTATACGCATGCCGTGTCACGTAAGATGGGACAAACGAGATGATAACTGTCCAGAGTGATTTAACAGACGTTAAAAATCTGCATAATTAGGACCTAATTTGAGAATCACACAATGTTCAGGACTTAATCGAGCACAATACAATATTAAGACCTTAATTCAGAATTTGGGGAACGTTTGTGACCATTCATTCTATAAATACGATGCCAAACCAACTCTATTCCTCAATCTCTTACAGTTCACCAGACAATTCATTCTTGCTAGAGTTTGTCTTTTTTTAACAGCTTTTGTGCCCCTGAATCTCATCTTTGCTACCATGGGTAGCATATAAACAGACTCATCTGGAATATCATCACCCGATTTGTAAGTGTATTACATGGTTTATTATTTTGGTCTCTACAAGTGCATAAACATTGTTACTTTTGATCACTTTTGATGTGAAATTCCAAGAAAAAAATTTTATAGTTTCAACTTTGAAAGGCTGAGTTACAGTTTTAGGCCACTGGCAAATGACACAGCATAACTAATTTTTAAAAATTTTAACCAACGAAGTATATATTTCTTCTAAAAAATCCTTTCCTCTAAATAATTTTTTTTCTTCAAATGCACTTCAGTACTGACATTAATTTTATGTATAGTGAAATATTTTATAGGCTAACATGGCTACTTGTCCAAGCATGATTGTACCAGAAGTTCTTAGAAAAGACAATTACGAAAGGTGAAGCATTTTAATGCAACACTATTTAGTAGCTCAAGATCTTTGGGATGTTGTTCAATTAAATGAGATGTCTGACCAGCGAGAGTGGATTAAAAAGAATGCTTTAGCTTTGCATTCAATTAAGATTTCATGCGGAACAGAAATGTTCAATCGGATTAAGGAGATGGCTTCTGCCAAAGATGCTTGGGATGCTTTAGCCGAAATGCAGCGACCCCCTTCCTATCACGACATTGTTGACCTCCAAGAAGTTTTCCCTTGGGACATTGACAAGTTGCAAGAAGAAACGCTAACAGGTTTTATTACATCTCCCCGTTTGAGTTTGCTATTTCTTCTGCGCATTTGTTGTTGGAGGTCGAATATCTATTGCCTTACAAGTTACAAACATGATTGGCAGGGCAACAAAAGACCTTGCATAATTGGATTCGCAGGGGGAATATTGGCAAAGTAAAGCAGTTCTTACGCGACAATCCGGATTCAAGATTTGAAATTATATTAGACTCTGCTATCCACGTTGCAATTACTGCTGGTAAGAAAGACGTTGCACGCTATCTCTACAAGGAGACTCCTCTGCAATGTCTAAATGGAGATCGTGGCTTCTTCCTCCTCCAGGAGTGTATAAAAAAGAAAATGTTTGGTATGAGCTTTGACAATCTTTTTCCTTTTGCTGTTAATGTTTCACTTTTATCTCACAAACTTTGGTATCAGATATTGCATTCGATCTACTCCGCTTTATTCCAGAGCTGGCATTCAGAAACCCTTCTGGTTCCACTCCACTCATTTTAATGCTTGCTCAATCACCCTCTTTGTTGGAAGGAAGACTTTTTGGATCTTTGTCACTGT